AATTATTTCTCCTTACTATCTAATAATCTTGATGTAGAAAATAATTTTTCTGTCTTTTCTGTCAGTCTGGGTTCAACCTGGTGATGAAGCATCCCTGCTGTGTCAACGAGATCACACTCAGCCTCAACAACAGAAACCCGAGGTATGCAGCGTGAACTATCGAGCTGCTCTGATCTGAAACTTTTTCGACAGACTGAATTCAGACGAAGAATAAACGTATAGATTGTGTTCCTCAGGACCAAAGCACTGGTGCTGGAGCTGCTGGCGGCCGTGTGTCTGGTGAGAGGAGGCCACGACATCATCCTCTCCGCCTTCGACAACTTCAAAGAGGTTTTTTACACTTACTAAACTACATTCAGACTTTTCATCTGACTTTCTGTTCTCAGTGTGACTGATTTCATCAAAGCTCAACCTCAGAAATGACGTCTTTTATATCTTAGTTTTGGTTTTTATGTCAAAACACTACTTATTTGGGTATTTTACTTTGAGAAATGTAGGCCTGTTTTGTCTTCAGAACCTTTTTTTAATCAAAAAGCTGAATGTGGCAGATAATTTGTTATACAGAACAGCATGTGTCCTGGATAACCTGGAAATTTAGAGACTAGTTTTCCAGTTGTGAAAAAACACCTGGAAATTAAAATTAAATGATTATAATGACCAAAATATCCTGGAAAGTTTAGTATTTTAGCCCCTCACTGACTCACTCAGATCGCCTACGTTAAGCTGGCTCTGTATTTAGTTTGAAACTCGACTGTTGATTGGATGAACTGCTGCATGCGTTCAGCCTAATAATGATTAAATGTCTTGGTCCTCCGTTAGTTGCACTTGTAACAAACACTTTTAACTTTCTAAAAGATGAATTTTCTGTCAAAATAATAAATTCATCTTGATTTGAACTGTTACTGGTGAGTTGTGGCCAAATTAATGTAGTCAATTTGCTCAAAACCGCAGCTTATATGACCCTGGAAAATGTCCTGGATAGGTCCTGGAAAATTATTTGTGAAAAAGAGTGTTTGAAAACTGTTTGAAAAGGTTTTAAAATCCTAAAATTTCATTAAAAAAGCAACTTGTTTCTACATTCAGTGACACAACTTGAGTTAAATTCCTTCATTTAAGAATCCCGTCGTCCTTTAAGTTCACTATTTAACTTCCCGGTCGACCTACAGTACATAACCAGCAGGGATGACTCAACCCACATTCAGACATTATTTGAAACCGGTCTCAAGCTGAACATAGACGTGGTGTTAGTGTCACAGCACCCACATACCAGCAGCCCTTTAATGCTTTGAAAACCAGGTTAAGGGGGAACCCCAGAGCCACCTGCCCCCCTTCCCCCCCACATCAGCTGCTCTGCCCAGTTGTCCCCCCATCAGACCAAACTGATTGAAGAGGCGTAAATATGTGAAACACTTGTTGAGTGGCCTCTGACCTCTCCTTGGCCTTCTCTCATCTCCGCCTGAGAGAGCAGCAACTGTTGCTAACAGATCGCAGACAGGAAGGAGAATAAACCTGAACCAGGAGGAGCTATTATTAGGAAGAAACCTGCCCTGCAACAAGCTCCACAGCAGGATTTTAAAGTCTGCTGGCTGCTGTTGCTTTTCGCCGAGCGTCCACTGCCATTTTAATTCACTCCAATTACAGAAACACTTAAAACAATAGTTTAATTGGACTGAACAGCTGCTGTACTACAACCTCACCTCAGTCATTGTTATTTTAATTAAAGTGCGTCTAAGTTTTAGTCAGATCGTACTGGATTTATCTACACAAATCATTGCATCAGAATCAGTGCAACAAATCATCAAAATCACTCTGCAAACCATCTTATAAATCTACATATCTAACTATTTTCACTCTTTTCTTGTATAAAAATGTATTTACAGACTTTTGAAACTTGCACATCTGCTGTCGTTTTATTTCATACAGAAATAAATGGAAAGCAATAGCTGCTGGGAACAACGGGAAAACAGCATAATGATATTATAGTATATGCTATTTGATAACTAAAACACCCCGGCGTCGTCCTTTAAGGGTAAAGTACACGTATGTCTCATTTTATCGACCTTTTCATGGACATTTTACATGTCACAGTAGAAAAAGGTGTTAATAATAAAATGAATGACACTGTGAAAGCTTACTGGGACCATTATGGTGGCGTTAATTATTAACACCTGTGCTTTTCTTCTTCTCTATGATACATCAGGATAAAAAAAACGTTTTCATTTATTAAGATTCACACTGTCTGAAGCTTCTTCTGCAGTGAAGCTCAACAATATTCACATTATCATTATATTGATTTCAGATACTTGTACAGATACTTCACATAGTCCTATATCAATAAAATGTGATATGATACAATTATTATACTTTATCTTATTTCTCAGATTTTCAACAGTTGCTGTTTGTTAAAAAACAGCTCATAAATATAAAGTTTAATTGTAAAAAGGTTCAGTAACTTCCTGAAACAGCTGCTCACTGTAGTTTTTATCAAACATCAGTAAATAGTGTCTTTGTTAGGGACTATTTTCAGCGGCGGATTAATCCACATTTGGTGCTATGGTGAGTATTTGGGGCCTGGTAAAGAAGGAACATATCACCCAGTGCAACAGTGTGGCTCACTGATGCGGTTTTAATGGTTTTTGGCCCAGAGGAAGCAGATAAATGAGGCTTTATAGTTGTTAGCAGTACTACTATGTTTGTTTTGGTCTTTTTATGGGATAATATTAAAAACAATCACCAGACTTATCCTTTAATGGAGTGACAAATTAAAAAAACCTGACTGATTGATTGGTACGGCGTCAGTTTCCACAGCGGTGACTTGAGTATCACACTGAGTGGCACTTTGTTTTGGTACCGCAGCAACGCCGACAAGTGAGTGGGCGAGAGCCAGATAGATCGCTCGTGGCCGTAAAGTAGAGGCAGGCGGCGCCGAGCCAGGAGCTGGCTTATGTGTCCCTCAGTAGCAGAACGTGGGCATTGTTTTGGGTGGTGCAGGCTGTCAGGTTGGCGTGCTGCATTATTTAGTGGACATGAGTGGGCAAAAAAAGGCGGGGAGGGAGGCCGAGTAAGAGACTGCAGACACGGACAGACTGCTGCTAATGGACGAGACAGAGAATCTGCTGAGCTGTTAGTTAAAGAAAACACAATTATGGTTTAGCCACATTTTCCTCGCTCGCTGTGCTCTAAGGGAAAAACACTGAAGCCTTGTTTATGCAACAGCTCGTCTGCAGACTGAAGAGCACACAAGATTGTGTCTGACATAGCAATTATCCTGCACAATGCAGAGTGTAGCAGCAGGTTTTTTACAATAAATTCTCACAATAAACTACTGGAATGACATTCTGTGCAATGCATGATGGGTAATTATTTGAATATTACAGCCGAATGTTGTGAATTATTACAATATATTGTATATAAAAATACTGTATTTTTAGAGTAATATAATGACTGTATATGACTGAATATACTGTAGAAACACAATGCATTACTGTGATTTTCATTTATATTATTGTAAAATAATTACTGAATTACTGAATTTACTGCAATTATTAGCCCTTAATTTACTGTAAAATCTAAATGATATAGTAACTGTTTTTCCATTATTTGCATCCCTAAACTGGGCTGAATCTGGAACTATATTCACAACAAACAGCAGCTATCCTCCTCTATCAATACAGCACTGTTATAGGGTATATATAATTATATATAATAATAATTAACACACTGTGTGAGTTGTGTCTAGATAGTTAAAAGCATTACTGTAATATTGTTTGTTTGTAATCTGTGTCTGTGTGAGCACACTGCCCCCATGTGTGTACATGTGGCATAATGCAGAAGTTTATTTATCCAGTCCATCATCAAAAACACGTCTCGAAGGACTTCACCCAGATTTAAGGCTCCAACAGATACTCTCAGTAAAAAGAACAAAAGAGTTGTGGTTCCTCTCTTCCAGGTGCCTGCTGGGATCTGATTGTAATTCTCGCTCCTTTTTAATGTTTTTCAGGTGTGTGGAGAGAAAAGTCGCTTTGAGAAGCTCATGGAGTATTTCTGCAAGGAAGACAGCAACATCGACTTCATGGTAAACCTGTGCCTGTGTGTCAGATATGAAGCACTACGGGCAGCAGCAACCAGGCCAGAAAGGTCCAATACAAGGTTATGGATCTGTATCCTGATCTGTGTATGGTACCGTATCGTACCAATAAAAATAAATCCTGTCAAAGATCCAGCCTCTAATCTTCTGCATCTTTAAGAAATACAAATACAAGGTATTGGGAGTAGGATATTACATGTAAGGTAATCAGGATCCAAAATAATGCTAAGTGGTAAAAGAGATTCCAGTTACATTTAGTAATAATGGGGATTATTAGCAAGATTACAACTTTAAAATACAGTTTTTCTTTAAAAACACACGAGCAGAGGTCACATTTTTATGCTCAAAGTCTTGGTTTCCATTTTCTTACATCGTTACTTACATCAATATTTCTTATTGATATTTCATTTCTCTTTATTTAAATATTTGTTGTTAAGGTAATCCAAAAATAACAGAAAGTAATCAAGTTACTCTCATATTGTGATACTTGGATTACTGACTACATTTTTTAGTAATTGTATCAGATTACATTTTTACCCTCCCAACCCTGCGTAGCACCACCTTGGATAGGACCGTAATACCACACAGAGAGAGGAGTTGATTGATTGATTAATTGATCCTGGTTGTCTGAGACTGATGCTGGTAATCAGTAAAATCTCATTGTAATTAAAGGAGAACTCCATTTTCCAGGAGAGCTTCCTAAATGTAAACATATATATGTACAATAATGGAACTGACTGGTTGTACGTTTACTCTGACAGATTATACACTTACATTTGTTCTTTTGTTACATGTAAACACGCTACAAGAATTTAAATCCAGCCTTCATGTAAAAAACAAAGCAAAAGAAAGAACAGGAGTAATCAGTCTTGTAATAGAAAGCTCTCAGACAAAATGTCAGTCTTCCTGTTAATTAAACAGATTGTGTGCAGTTATATAAAATGGATATGACACTGAGCTGAATGTTGCTAAGCTCATTAGCTTGAACTAATATTACTTTCACAACATGTGCACATTGGTAAGTCGCTGTTTTCAGCTGTCAACTCAATGCAAACATTGAATTTAATGTAAATGCAGCATAAACGTACACTGAGGGCAAAGTTGCTGAGGTGTCATGGAATTAATCGCTTGGTCTAAAAAACAAAGATATTCAGTTTACAGTTATTTTAAGGGGAAAAGAGAGAGACTAGAACCATCACAATTCTGCTCCATAAACTACTAAAACCTTACATACTTACATAATCATTACCAATAATAATCACACTTGTTGTTGAACATTTGAGTAAAATTCTGGGTTCCGACGCATTCCTGGAAAACCTGGACATTGTTAGACTAGTTTTCCAGTCATAGAAACACCTGGAAAATTATTAAAATGACCAAATATCCTGGAAAAATTCTATTTTAGCTCTTCACTCAGATTGCCTAAGTATTTTGTTTGAAACTCCACTGCTGGTTGGAGAACTTGCACGGTACAACACTTCAAAGCAGGTTTACCAGACGTGCAGATCAGAATTCCCTTGAGATTAATTTTCTGTAAAATAAAATAAATTCTGCTTAATTTGAACTGTTACTTATGGGCTGCAGCCAAAGTCATGTTACAGTTAGAGGAAAACTGTAGTCAATTCAATGAAGAGTACGTAAACGCTGTCCCGTTATGAACCCCTAATACTTAAAAAAGAGGAGTAAAACTGGGGTTAAATGTGTCAATATGAGGCCTAACGGTAAATTATATGACCCTGTGAGCCAGTGCTGTACTGTATTGTGAAAAAACTCCTGGAAAGGTCCTGGAAAATGCTACTCTCTGCCTGCCTTCAACCAGCAACCTGTGTGTGTGAAGATAAATTACTCTGCTGTACTACTGTGTCTGCCCACCAGGTGGCCTGTATGCAGTTCATCAACATTGTGGTCCACTCAGTGGAAAACATGAACTTCAGGGTCCACCTGCAGTACGAGTTCACTCGTCATGGGCTGGACGACTACCTAGAGGCAAGTGTGACCTTTGACCCACACACTCATATAGTCCCTTACATTAAAGCCTTGAAATGTGGAACATTTTATTCATCACTTTATGTTCATCAGGAGAACATTTATGAGCATTCATTGTGTGCAGACGCTGAAGTTCACAGAGAGCGACAGACTGCTGGTGCAGATTCAGGCCTATCTGGACAACGTGTTTGATGTGGGAGCTCTGCTGGAGGACGCAGAGACCAAGAACGCTCTGCTGGAGCACATGGAGGAGCTGCAGGAACACAACACACAGGTAGAGATACTGCACACACACACACACCTGTATAATCTATGTTAGCATGATGCATGAATAAAAGTTGTGTTTGGGTGTCACAGTTGAGCAGCAGGCTTCAGGAGAGCGAGAGGGAGGCGATGGAGAAAGTCTCCGACTTGGAGAAGAAGCTCATTCAGACCACAAAAGAAGTGGAACTCCTGAAGGTAACGTACACCGCTCTCCTCTTTATGTTTGGGTCTGTTTTGGTGTCCACATACTTTTGGCCACGTGGTGTCCAGTCCAGCCACTGTATCACGATATCGTGGTCCACAAACACGGACCTGCTGATGTTTCCCGGTGTGTCCGTGTCGTAGGAGAGTCTGCGTGAGTCCTGCGCCCAGGTGACCCTCCTGCAGCAGCGGGAACGAGAGAGGGAGCTCGAGCGAGAGGGGGAGAGAGAGAGAGAGCGGGACAAGGACCGATCCACCGAGGCCCTCAGGGAGCTGGAGGTTAAAGTCCAGGCTCTGGTGGAGCAGGGGCTGGTCCGAATGGAACGCTCCCCTTCCGGACACCTGGACATCCAGGTGGTCCCCGTCATCCAGCATGTGATACAGAAAGGTCAGAGCTGGGGCACTGTGGGGGTATTTCACCTCTCCTGTAGCTTTATTTTAGGTTTAAAAGGACAAAAAGTCATTATTTTAATGTTCTGTTTTTGCAGCTTTGTTAGAAAATGTAATAGTTGCTCTAAAATAAAAGACTAACAATTAAACAACAACTAAAATTAGACAAAAATAATAATGTATTTGCAGACCAGATTTAACCCTCTGAACTGTGCAATAGAAACGGTCCACCACTGACTAATTGGTATTTCTGCTTATTGTGAGTATCTGGAAATTATTCTTATCCCCATAATCTGTTCAACCTGAGCTACAATGTCATATAAGTAAAAAAATAATTGATAAAAGTATTGAAATTGAGTCATAAATATAAAGAATACAAACATTTGACCTGTATTTAATCAAATTTAAAGAAATAAAAGTAAAAAAGAGCGATCCAAAAGATATCTAAATGTAGAAACGTGAACATTTCTGGACACTCCAGCAGTTATTGGAATTTAGCATTAAGCTAGTGGCCCAGTCTATTTGTTAACATGAGTTCAGACTAAAGATATAGCTAGTTTTAAAAATCTATCTATCTA